TCGTTACCCCAACTGGCGGCACTGTTGTTGCCTCTCCCCGGTTCCCAGTGGCCCCTGTTAGGTTGACCTTGACCACGACCTGGTGACCCTGTGTCAGGTGACTCCCAATGATATCCGGGTGACCAGCGGTTTCGCGGGGGACGTTGTTCTGAGTATGGTGACCTATCTCGGCGTTGGCCGTTATACCTATTACGCCCGTTGTCCTGGGGCGGATGAGGGTACTGAGCCCTAGCACGGTACTCTGGTGGTCGGTTCCCTTCATAGTTTTGAGGGGAACTTCGGTCGCGTTCCGGAGAGCGGTAGACACCCCGAGGTGGAGGCGAGTTTGGGCGTGCAGACACACCGCCCGCACTAAGTCGGGCCAGGGATTTCTTTAACTTCTGCAGTTCATCCTTTAATAACTTTACAGTGTCTTTATTTTGTCATCTCCCGACTTAGTGCCCTCAGCGAATTCCACCTGCCTACTAGGGTAATGTGGCGCGCGAGAACCAAACAGAGCACGCTGATTGGCCACGGAGGCCTTTATGTATTTCAGAGCTTTGTGAACAGTCTTAGGATTCCTCTCCATGGCTCTCTGCGCCGCCATCTTCTCGCGACAGCCTGTAAGGAACGCCTCTTTAGCGATCTGATTCCTCGTTGTGGTGTGGGAATGCGTAAAGCCATCTCAAGTTAATGTTTGAATCCGCTGGGCAAATTCTGCTAAGCTCTCACTCTCCTCTTGTTTAGTGAAGTGCAGTTCTCTGCGGGCCACCGCTGAGACGTCCTTGTCGCTGAACCGTTCTTTCATCTTCTTCTTGAGCTTAAGTTTGTCGGCGTACTCCAGCGCATCACCAACAAGACAATCAAAAAACCACTGTATAGTCTTACGGTCCGACCATCTCTTATCTGTTTTCGTGATTCTTTCAAATTTAAGAGTGAAGGGTTCCCATCTCTCCTTACCTGAGTAAGTGGGTATCTTGTGTCTCTGAGGACTTCTATTCCTTCGGCGATGCCTCTGGTCGTCATCGGAGGATTCCTCGGAATACATATCGCTGTCCCCTCATCTTCACTGGAGAAGTATGGCTTAGATTCGTCGCTCTCTGACGAATCATCACGTCTACGCCTTGCAGGGGCACGGCGCGTTCCCTGTGATCGGTGCGCATGTCGTTCAACGGGGGTGGCGCGTGCGCCATGCAGGACGTTCGTTGTCCGACCTGTCGCGCGTCCGTCTATTTCTTCCTTCATCGCGGGTAGCACACGCTGTTGTAGCTACGTATACGCCACGATTTACTGCGCTTGTTAAGGTTTCCTTTGCGCGAGCAACGGCAACGGCCGAAGGCAGACCATGCACAGGAGTAGTATGGTGTTCTAATTTAATCTGCTTTTGCCCTAACTGAGTGTCTATGTACCCCAATAGGGGATAGTTATTTATCCTGCCATTGGTGTATGGCAGTTTATGGCCTGGGGGAAATTTACCCTCCCTGTGTTGGAAAGGTAGCTTGACATCTTCCAACAGGAAGTCAGCCTACTTTTCATTGGGCGATGATATGCATGACATGCTGTGACCCAAGGCCAGATTAATTTCCTCTTCAACATGTGGGGAAGACTCTAACTTAACACACACACACACCCCACCCCCTACCCCCCACTTAGAAGCAATGGGTACAATGGGTGCACTGGTACCTCCAGTACACCATGTTGTCATATAGGACCCCTGACCTTGACCCTTACATACCTACCATCCTTCGGGATAGCCTGTAGGATAGGGTCAAAACAGGACTCTTTCTGTTTAGGCACTATTGCCCGAGGGTCAGTAGATGGTACACCCTCAGGTTGCATGGACGTAGACCGAGATGTACCTCTATTCCCCCAGAGTGACCAGCTATTTGTCTGTTGCCCTTGGCTAATGAGATCACCCTTAGGTGTAGTCAGTAGCATAGTGTCTGGATTAGAGGTCTTCTTTGGAGGCGAGGCAACACAAGCCGCCATACTCTCTTCTGATTTACCACTTAGTCCCTAACCTGGACCTGCAGCTCTTTAAATTTATACTGCATATCCATCACTGCGTCCTCCTGTCTATTAAGCCTATTTGCCTGTGATGAGGTTGATGGCATGGTGACTGAACCTCTAATGGATCAGTGATAACCCCATCACATAGCCATCTCTGCCACCTTTCAATGCCTATTCTCGAATAAGTTTTTGTAAGGTGAGGTCGTCCTCACCTCTTATCGCAATGATCCAACGACACAGCACATCCTCTGTAGCTGACCGTAAATGTAACACAGCCATCCTCAAATATCAGACAAAATACGGAAAAGTGTCCATGTTGTAATAATAATATACAATATACAACATTTATATAACGCCCTATATAATTTGTAAAATTACTCTAAAGCGCTTTACAACATATGGATAATAGTAATGGTTATAATTGTGAAAACAAAAAACAAAGGCTTACAATCACTTTTATACATTTAAGCAAGCAATGTGCACATAATTGAACAAATAAAAGGGTGGTATTTACATGACGTCTTTGCAAAGATTCTAAAATGCAGACGTGAAGAGGTGAGTTTTGATGTCCCTCTTGAACTTGGCCAGGGTATTTGACTTTCTAATAGCAGATGGTAAGCTATTCCACAACGTAGCCGAAACCCTCCCAAAGCATCTGTTTCCGTAGGTCACAGTACGAGATTTTGGGACACACAACAAAGATTCTGACTCCGACCGCAGTGATCTTGACGGCTGATACAGGGTAACAAGCTCATGTAGGTACTGAGGAGCTGTTCCATTCAGTGCCTTGTATGTGTACACCAGAATATTGTACTGCGACCTGTATCGTACAGGTAAACAGTGCAACGAATAAAGCACAGGTGTGATGTGCTCTCTCTTTCGAGTACGAGTAACTAGCCGTGCTGCAGTGTTCAGGACCCTCTGCAGACGACTAGTTAGTTTGTCAGATATACCACAGAGCAGGGAGTTACCATAATCCAACCGAGAGGTAACAAGTGAATGCGCCAAAATCTTGCATGCATCTGCAGTTAAAAACTGCCGAATACAGTCGATTTTCCTGATCTGGTAGTAACAGTATTTGGCAATAGCGTTCACTTGTTTCTCTATGTTCAGTGAACTATCAAAGTATACCCCTAGATTTTTAACAGCTGGAACAGTCTCAATAGTTCTAGCACCGACCTTGAGCTGGAGAGCCATTGTTTGCTGACACTTTGGGGAAAAGACGAATTGTTCCGTCTTTTCCTGATTAAGCTCAAGCATGTTGGCGTTCATCCAGATACTGATATCTGTCAGACAAGCTTCCAGACTTTCTGAGACTGTATTCCAACTGTCCTTTGGTTTGATAACCATGTAAATTTGTGTGTCATCGGCATAGCAATGATAGCGAAGGCTATGGCGACGACAAATCTCTCCAATCGGTTTGGAGTACATACAATATTTTCGTGGTCCTAACACCGACCCTTGAAGAACCCCGAAATCTAGTACTTTGTCATGTGAGGTGGAAGATCCGATGGCAACACACTGTCGTCGTTCACTCTCAGGTAAGACTGTATCCAGCATAGTGCGGTATCAGTCACTCCATAAAAGTATTCCAGACGTTTATAAAGTATGCCATGGTCGATGACGTCAAATGCAGCTGACAAGTCCAGCATGACAAGCACTGCTCTGCACTTGTTATCCAATGCAAAAGCTATATCATTATGTACACGTAGGAGGGCCGTCTCAGTAGAGTGTCCCATGCGGTAGGCCGATTGCATGTTGTCATGGAGACTGTTTGCATGGTGATGAACCTCTAAACGCCGGGACACAACCTCCTCCAAGATCTTAGACAGAAAAGGCATGTTTGAAACTGGGCGGTAGTTTTTTTTGCCTTCTTGAAACATAATGGAACCTTTGACTCAGCCAATGATTCAAAGGTTCCATTATGTTTCAAGAAGACACATGTCAGACCATCGTTAAGAAGCCTGGAATTGACTAGGAGAAGTTGAAAAAAATAATAAAGAAACAAGTCAAAATACTTAACAAAATAAATACAAAATTATGCACAAGGACAGTATACTAACGTTGCTAAAAGTAGACACGCGTATCTGTCCCGTACAAAATTCAAATGACTACAATTATATCACAATTAACAGTTTACAAAAAAAAATCTGATTCCTAAAATACCTAATTTCTATCCTATTGTAATATACGCCTAGCTATATTAACCTAACAGTACATGTAATAATGATTCTATAATATAAACCTAACTATATTAACCTAACAAGTACATGTAATAATTATTCTATAATATAAAACTAATAACTAATCTAACGAAAGCTCGGAAGTCTCGCCTGTCATTTGTTTTCCGCCAATATGGGCACTATACAGGCGAATGGAGCTACGTACAAAGTATCAACTAAACTAAATTAAACTAAATATAAATATCAAAACGGCAGCGAACCGCCGACTCTGAATTACCCCCTTATAAATATTTAAATAAATAACAATAATTTAAACTATCAGAACTGTCCCAAATTCTTTCACTCGTAATTCGCGCGCTGGTCACGTAGGCCAGCGCACGTGGAGAGCGAGAGGGGAAAATGACAAACAAAACGTGAGAAATAGTGGCGGTTCGACGAACTGCTGACACCAAAAGTCGTGAATTTAGTAGGTGTTGTCACACACCGTCAAACATGTAGTTGGGAACTGCTCTCAGGTCCCGAAATCTATTAGAATGTTCAGGATGAAGTCAGGATGTAAAGATACCGCGACGGTTAGCGGTCTAAGGGAGAGAACTCTCCCCAAAATTCACTACAATACATTTATTAAAAGTCTGTTTTTCAAGCAAGTCTACTTGAAATTATTAACTAAATCATTCGTCTTAATTCACTTATGGGTTTGTCATTTTTTTATTGATTTAGGTAGTTTTGTGTGTTTTCGGGTAAATCGTCGTGTCCATTCTGTCCAGTTATCGTCGACCGTCTGGTCTTTAGTATCTCCCATAATTCTAAATCCAAGCACCTGTTTGACCCTGCTACACAATAATGAAATCGGACAACTAGAAAGTGATGTCGCCAAAGTTTCCTCTACTCCCGCGGGCCGACTCCCAACAAAAACTTTAGACATTCTGACATATAGCAACCAGAAGAAATGTGCACTAGAAGGTATGACTTGTTTTCCATAGGCCTATAGTGACCAGATAGACTAACAGCTGTGTACTGTACCAGTAGGCCTACAGTAGGCTACAGGTGACAGTACAGGGCCTACTGTAGGCCTAACAGTTACAACGTAGGCCTGCATGAGTACTGATATTAATACCCGGCCTCAATGTAATTCTGTGAGAACACTAAGGTGGCTTCCAAGAATGAATTAACTAAACCAGCATTTTATTCATACATTGAAAATTCAGAGGCATTAAATATAAATGCACAGTCACAGGTTCTAGACTCGTCTGCCAATAGCCACACCCATATTATTATTGATGTATTGACAGGCGAGGCCTGTGGTGTATTCTAATGTTAGCCTACTGAGTTTCCTTTGGCCCTGACACCAGTCATTTTGATAGATGGATGTCTAAGTCTAGTGTCAGGGCCAGATGAAACTCTGGCTAGTATAATGTACATATCTCATATACTATTATCTGATTATGCTATATCAGATATTTTACATTAAAATGGAACAGGAGAGGAAAAGTGCACGGCCAGACCGGGGTTCGAACCCGGGACCCTCCAAACTCTAGACGGACTCAATACCAATTGAACTACCGGTATCTGGTCGCCAACAATCTACCCAGTCCATTTCCGCTACACTTACATAAAATATATTTAGTATATTCGACAATTTGTTTCAAATAGAAATCGAATTCCAATTCAACAATAACATCAAGATGGGAAAAAAATATAACAAATATTGTAGGAGAATTTTTTTTATCAATTTTGTTTGACTTACCTTCTTTGATGCATTGCTATTAGACATTGAATAAGTTTCCTTTTTCCTTTCAGAATTGTTCTGTTGTCCTTTGTGTTGGTTGTTCTGCAGCTTTGAAATCCTATTTCTTGGACGAAACAAATGCCAGCACAGCTTGTTTCAAATCTAAAACTACACATTTAACAAAGAGACTACAAGGAGAGAGAGGGAGAGAAAGGAAAAAAACCTACTAAACGGACTTAAAATTACACAAACTATCACTAAATTTCCAAAACTTGAGTAAAAGGGAATAATGAGAGAAGAAAACAGCAATGGGTTTATTCAAACAGTGGAAGAACAGGAACTCCCCAAGACAGATACAGGAGATAAGCCTCACCAGTGTGATGTCTGTGGTAAGAAGTTTAATAAGACACGTACCTTTCAGACACACATCAAGACACATACAGGGGAGAAGCCCTACACATGTGATGTTTGTGGTAAGGGGTTTAGTGTAGCAGGAAGCCTACAGACACACCTCAGGAGACATAAAGGAGAGAAGCCCTACAAATGTGATGTCTGTGGGAGGGGATTTAGTGTGACACAACACCTTCAGATACACCTCAGGTCACATACAGGAGAGAAACCCTACAAGTGTGATGTCTGTGAGAAGGGATTTACTGATGGAAAAAGCCTACAGACCCACATCAGGACACACACAGGAGAGAAACCCTACAAGTGTAATATCTGTGGCAGGGGGTTCAATCAGTTAGTTCACCAAAAAACACACCTCAGGACACATACAGGGGAGAAGCCCTACACTTGTGATATCTGTGGTAAGGCATTTAATCAGTCACAACAACTACAGGTTCATACCAGGACACATACAGGAGAGAAGCCTTACACGTGTGATGTCTGTGGTAAGACCTTCAGTATGACACAAAGCCTCACACTACACCTCAGAATACATACAGGAGAAAAGCCTTACAAATGTGATGTCTGTGGTAAGGGGTTAAGATTGGCCCATCACCTAAAGTCACATCTCAGGATACATGTTGGAGAGAAGCCCTACAAGTGTGATGTCTGTGGTAAGGGTTTCTTTGGGGAGGGAAGCCTTCAGAGACACCACAGAACACATACGGGAGGGAAGCCCTACAAGTGTGATGTCTGTGGTAAGGAGTTTAATCAATCAACTACTCTTGTGTCACATATTAGGATACATACAGGGGAGAAACCATACAAGTGTGATTTGTGTGACAAAAGGTTTATTCAGTCATCTTCTTTAAAGTCACACCTCAGGGCACATCAGGGAGGAAAGTCATACAACTGTAATGTTTGTGGCAAGGAGTATAAGGTGTTAAAATGTCTACAGAAACACCTCAGGACACTTCACATACAGCAGGCAGAAACCCTGCAATTGTTATATATGTGGTAAGGATTTCATTGTGTCACAAGAGGCCTACAGAGACATTTCAGGACACTACAGGAGAGAGGCCTTACAATTATGAGAGGTTTAATATTAATCCTCTAAATGGACACATCAAAATGCATACAGGGAAAAACCCTGCTATGTCTGCTAAAGAGAGGTACTGATTGTCGATTTAAATTAATTTAGAAATGTATGCAGTTTATTTGTCCATAATATCAATGATCTTTATAAAGATTTAGTTGTACGTTTTTATGTTATGTATATATTTTTGACTTCTTTGAAGCTATTTTGTTACTTTGTATACACCTCAGCAAAATTTGAGCACCATTAAAATCTTTTGGGACATCTGAGAAATTGATTTTCTCTATGTGCAAGTAAAAAAATACTGACCTACATATCACACAAAGAAATAACGTATTTCCATATGGGATCACGCATACGATACCAACAACAAATAATTACTATCAAGAAAAGGAAAGTTCATGATTTGAAAATTTGTATTTAAATTCAGATTAAAAGTATGCTGTGCCAGTTGGTCATGTTGTAAGTAAAAATTGTGGAAAGAAGTTGAAGTAGAAGAGTTAGGTGACCTATTTTCATGTCCAGGAGGATAATTACGATCGATGTGGTCAATTAATTTCTTGTTGTTCAAAGTTATGATAGTCAAAATATCTAAAAGTAAGACTGAAAGACTTGGCATTTTGTTACCAGTCCTAATAAATTCAGCCTTATATGGAAACAAGAGGCCCAATGGGCCTCAATCGCTCACCTGGTATTAATCTCACACATCTTAAAAATGGACTAAAATACAGCTACAGGCAGAATATCAGTGTTTGGCTCAAAAGATTTAAACAAATGACGCCTGTGACTTTGAATGTCGAACAAGGATATATAAGGTTGAACAGAATTTATAGTCATCCAAACCAGCATGCTTCTGGCAAAATATCATTACCTAGGCCTGGACCTTTTGGTTATACAGAACGAGTCATTTAAAGATTTAAACATATATTGACCACTGTGACCTTGAATATAAGTAAAGGTAAATAATTTGGACAAACTTGATAGCCCTTCATCACAGCATGCTACTGGCCAAATATCATCATCCTGGGCCTCTTATTCATTCAGAATAAGTTGTTTAAAGATTTAAACAACTTCTTCTTAATAACCAAAAGGCACAGGATGTTGATATTTGGCCAGTAGCATGCTAGGATAAAGGGCTTCCAAGTTTGTTCAAGTGAATGACCTTGATTATATTCAAGGTCACCGGGGTCAAATTTGTTTAAAATCTTTAAGCGACTTCTTCTGAAAAAACATGAGGCCCAGGTTGTTGATATTTAGCCAGAAGCATGCTTGGATGAATAGCTATCAAGCTTTTCCATTTGAATGACCTTGTCCCACTTTCGAGGTCACATTTAGTCAAATATGTTTAAACATTTAAATGACCTAACCTCAATAAAGAAAAGGTCAAGGGTAGCGATATTTGGCAAGTTGCATCCTGAGATGAAGGGTTATAAAGTTTGTTCATTATAATGACCTTGTTCGACTTTCAAGGTCACAGGGGTCAAATATTTTAACACCTTTTAATAGGATCTTTTGAATGATTTGTAGTCATAAGTACTGATATTTTTGTCTAAAGCTTTACTGTAGATCACTTTTAAGGTTACAGGTGTGAGATTAATACCAGGTGAGCGATGCAGGCTCGTTGGGCCTCTTGTATCTTTTATGATTAAAATTACTCCACCAAATCTGGAATGTTCAATATTATCTCAATAACAATAGGAATATGTCAATAAGACTGTAAGGAACCAAGACTGACTAGCTATAACCAAGAGAAAAATACATGTACAGTGATATAAATCAGACTATAGTAAGACTTTTGAAACAGTTGTATGATGTAGTGTAGGTCATTTCTGACTTCCTTTATCTATTACAAAGATGGGATCACCTGTTTGTGTAAGTGTGTTATGCTTATCTCTCAAGATACAAGGTGGTAGACTAGTGGATTGATTAGTCCCCGATGTTTGTTGGTAGACTCTGCTGGTGGATTGATTATTCCCTGAGGTTTGTTGGTAGCCTCTGCTGGTGGATTGATTAGTCCCCGACGTTTGTTGGTAGACTCTGCTGGTGGATTGATTATTCCCTGAGGTTTGTTGGTAGCCTCTGCTGGTGGATTGATTAGTCCCCGACGTTTGTTGGTAGGCTCTGCTGGTGGATTGATTAGTCCCCAACGTTTGTTGGTAGACTCTGCTGGTGGATTGATTAGTCCCTGACGTTTGTTGGTAGACTATGCTGGTGGATTGATTAGTCCCCAACGTTTGTTGGTAGACTCTAATGGTGGATTTATTAGTCCCCGAGGTTTGTTGGTAGACTCTGCTGGTGGTTTGATTAATCCCCAACGTTTGTTGGTAGACTCTGCTGGTAGCTTTCTTAGTCCCCGAGGTTTGTTGGTAGACTCTGCTGGTGGATTTATTAGTCCCCGAGGTTTGTTGGTAGACTTTGCTGGTGGATTGATTAGTCCCCGACGTTTGTTGGTAGACTGTGCTGGTGGATTGATTAGTCTCCGAGGTGTGTTGGTAGACTCTGCTGGTGGTTTGATTAATCCCCAACGTTTGTTGGTAGACTCTGCTGGTGGATTGATTAGTCCCCGACGTTTGTTGGTAGACTATGCTGGTGGATTGATTAGTCTCCGAGGTATGTTGGTAGACTCTGCTGGTGGTTTGATTAGTCCCCAACGTTTGTTGGTAGACTCTAATGGTGGATTTATTAGTCCCCGAGGTTTGTTGGTAGACTCTGCTGGGGGATTGATTGGTCCCTGAGGTTTGTTGGTAGACTCTGCTGGTGGTTTGATTAGCCCCCAACGTTTGTTGGTAGACTCTGCTGGTGGATTGGTTAGTCCCCGACGTTTGTTGGTAGAATCTGCTGGTGGATTGATTGGTCCCTGAGGTTTGTTTGTAGACTCTGCTGGTGGATTGATTAGTCCCCAACGTTTGTTGGTAGACTCTGCTGGTGGGTTGATTAGTCCCCGACGTTTGTTGGTAGACTGTGCTGGTGGATTGATTAGTCTCCGAGGTATGTTGGTAGACTCTGCTGGGGGGTTGATTAGTCCCCGACGTTTGTTGGTAGACTCTTCTGGGGGATTGATTAGTCCCCGATGTTTGTTGGTAGATTCTGCTGGTGGATTGATTATTCCCTGAGGTTTGTTGGGAGACTCTGCTGGTGGATTGATTAGTCCCCGACGTTTGTTGGTAGAATTTGCTGGTGGATTGATTAGTCCCCGATGTTTGTTGGTAGACTCTGCTGGTGGATTGATTGGTCCCTGAGGTTTGTTGGAAGACTCTGCTGGTGGATTGATTAGTCCCTGAGGTTTGTTGTTAGACTCTGCTGGTGGATTGATTAGTCCCCGACGTTTGTTGGTAGAATCTGCTGGTGGATTGATTGGTCCCTGAGGTTTGTTTGTAGACTCTGCTGGTGGATTGATTAGTCCCCAACGTTTGTTGGTAGACTCTAATGGTGGATTTATTAGTCCCCGAGGTTTGTTGGTAGACTCTGCTGGGGGATTGATTAGTCCCCGACGTTTGTTGGTAGAATCTGCTGGTGGATTGATTAGTCCCCGACGTTTGTTGGTAGACTATGTTGGTGGATTGATTAGTCTCCGAGGTATGTTGGTAGACTCTGCTGGGGGGTTGATTAGTCCCCGACGTTTGTTGGTAGACTCTGATGGTGGATTGATTAGTCCCCGACGTTTGTTGGTAGACTTTTCTGGTGGATTGATTAGTCCCCGACGTTTGTTGGTAGAATCTGCTGGTGGATTGATTGGTCCCTGAGGTTTGTTGGAAGACTCTGCTGGTGGATTGATTAGTCCCTGACGTTTGTTGGTAGACTCTGCTGGTGGTTTGATTAGTCCTCAACGTTTGTTGGTAGACTCTGCTGGTGGATTTATTAGTCCCCGATGTTTGTTGGTAGACTCTTCTGGTGGATTGATTAGTCACCGAGGTTTGTTGGTAGACTCTGCTGGTGGATTGGTTAGTCCCCGACGTTTGTTGGTAGAATCTGCTGGTGGATTGATTGGTCCCTGAGGTTTGTTTGTAGACTCTGCTGGTGGATTGATTAGTCCCCAACGTTTGTTGGTAGACTCTGCTGGTGGATTGATTAGTCCCTGAGGTTTGTTGTTAGACTCTGCTGGTGGATTAGTCCCCCGAGGTTTGTTGGTAGACTCTGCTGGTGGATTGATTAGTCGCCAAGGTTTGTTGGTAGACTCTGCTGGTGGATCAGCCCACGAGGTTTGTTGGTAGACTCTGCTGGTGGATTGATAAGTCCCAGAGTTTGTTGGTAGACTCTGCTGGTGGATTGATTAGTCCTCGACGTTTGTTGGTAGACTCTGCTGGTGGATTGATTAGACCTCGACGTTTGTTGGTAGACTCTGCTGGTGGATTGATAAGTCCCCGAGTTTGTTGGTAGACTCTGCTTGTGGATTGATTAGTCCCCGATCCACCAGGCTTGCAGAAATGTTGGTGATCTCTTTGAGCAATGACATGGTTCATACTTTAGTAAATACACACACTTTATAGATAATTTAATTTGAAATTAACAAGTAAGCTTCTTAATTTTTAAACTCAGAGTCAATGGGTTTTAGTATACCACCTGCGCCTGTTTCAGTGTTTTGGACAAGATGAGTTTCAAACACTTTGGTCTCTTGCATCATGGATGAGTCCTAGCAGGACTAAACAACTCTATGATGCAGTGTGATTCATTTTTGGCTTACTGCATCTTTTACCAAATTTAAAACTATGAAATAAGCAAAAGGTACTCTAATTTTCCTTAGAAGAAATCAGAATAATAGCGGTTAAAGAACCAGTGCACCAATCACTAGTAATTAGACCCTCTTTAGAAAGTCTTTCGATTATGTATCCGTATCTGTTTACATCTATCTACACATGCCTCTGTCGGCGCCAGACAGGGGACATTGGGCTCCGGCAGAAGTCGGTCGGGGCAGCATTGAAAGACGAGACCGTCACCCCAGTATACAGTACCAGGCCTGCAGGTTCTCCACTCCAGATAAACAGACAACAACTGTCGGTATAGACTCTCCTGACATATTTTTGAAACAAGGGCCTCTTCTGCAGCCTGGCCATTGGCACTGAATAGGGTTTGGTCTCTGGGCAAACTGTCTCGGCTCCAAATTCTAATGTAGGTCCCTAGGGATAAGCTCTGGACTAATCACTTGTAGCGTGCAATGGATGAGATTGCCTATAGACTGGATAATTCGGGGCACGTGCTTCTCCCTGTCTCTCGTCCCGGAGTAGGTCGTAAATGGCCTCAGCTACCCCTGGCTCCCTTTCCGAGAACGGATGCAGAGCGCCCAATGCCCGGGAGGGTAACCGGCAATCATTTTCAACAAGAGTCGGCAACTACCCAGCATCGGCCGCCCACAGTCATAAGCCTACAAGTAGAGCATGCATTTCAGATCTCTTGGTGAAAAGTCCCTATATTCCTCCAAGGATTCTCCTTGTTAGATTGCCTCAGCAATGAAGGAGTCAGTATTGTTCTCCAGTATCTTGCACGAGTAGAACTTAAACATGAGACTTAAAGGATGACACTTTGAATGATTGCACCCGTGTGCATATTTTACATTTCCTATAACCGGTCCTGGACTTGTTGTCACATAATTGGCTGCAAGGGAAGACAAATTCGAGCACCTGACCGTTCAGGAGGCTCACCGTATGCAAATGTGAGACAATCCCTTAACTGTTGCCCGCTCAGAAGGCTCACCTTCAACAAGAGAAGACAATACCTGATCATCGAATTTCTCAGAGAGACGCATGTCGTCTAACCTTCTTGCTATGAGACATTTAAGTAGGCATCTATCTCAAGATGTGTAGCCCTCTGCAGAGGAGATGATGACCGTGGGGATGGGGAAAGGAGAGGAGTTAGCAGATGACCGCTTCTTCCTCTTTTGAGCCTTTACCATGTTCCAAGACCACTGAGAGGGCTCTGGGAAAGGTATGGACACATTGGCTGTCCTCTTGAGAGTGTCGACTGGAACCTATTCAGAAGCTAAATCAACTTGAATTAGAAACGCCTTCCAGCCAACGAATTGCAAAAACATCCAATCTTCGACATGGTCACCAACATGGTTGGACCCTTGCTGAGCAACGACCCACTTAGCAGTTCCAAGCTTAGGGACCAGGTTGACTGGTCAAACCTCAACCGCTGATTGGGTCAAGATATAAAAGGGGAGCTCCCAGGGACCCCAGGGCAAACCTTCCGGAGATCGAACTGGACCTCCCCCAGGCTTCCCTCCGAACTGGACCTCCCCCCAGGCTTCCCTCCGCAGACTCGAGATAGACCCCGACCACACACACAAATGTCTCTATCGCTCACACAGGATTGTCAGGGGTATCCTCCACTGAACGGTAAGTAACTTCTCTGGCTCATCGATATGCAGGCATGTTTTCCATGTTCTGAAAGGAAAGCAAATGTCTTTCTTTTTGCCATCTACAGTAGACATGATGAAGATTCGTCATTGTTGTGAAACGGGTCAATGGCCTTTACTACTCGCATTAAGGGAAGTGGATGCTGGATCTGGATCGTACGAGACAGGTTTCTTTCATCTTTCTGCTTCTGCTGTGCTGTGTATACGTACTGACCCTTGAAATTGCGCTTCCGTGCCACCGATTATGATGACACTATTTTCAACCTGTATAGAGTGATAATTTGTGCAAGTACATTTGTATAATGTATGTATCCCCTGTAGTAACTAAGAGCTCACTTAATAATAAAGGATAACTAGGTGTGCAGGTTATAGCACTTGTAGTAGGCAAGATGTAGATGAGAGCAATTCTTCTTAACCTTACATGTAGATAAGAGCAATTCTAATTAATTAAGATTTGGTTTGGTTTTATTTTGTTTAACGTCCTAAGGTCATTTAAGGACGTGCATCCATGTGTGTTGTGTAAGCGTGCAAGTGTGTATGTATGCTGGAGACAGGGTATGTTGGTAACTTGTCTCCTGGTAATATCGCGGATCTGATGCCGACTTTATAGTGCTATCTCACTGAAACACCATGCCGAAGGCACCCAGCACAGCATTCCGCCTGGTCACATTATACTGACAACAGGTGAACCAGTTGTTGCCATTATCCTCAATGCTGAACGTTAAGCAGGGAATAACAACTACCATTTTTAAGGATTTTGGTATTCCCGGCCTGGGGACAGAACCCATTACCTTCCTCACCTGTGCAGACGCTCAACATTAAAACCAGAAGTGTGGTATTGCCAAGCTAGGTGCTAGGAAATAAAAGGTAGTTAAAAGTAGAAAGAAAGATAAAGATCCCAAATATTGCAATTGGTTCAGCAGATTTATTTTGGTCGCTTTTGTGTCCCCAAGTAGAGGACGCAAAAGCAAATCCCATATTCTGCAGGATGTTCCCACATTAGTTGCCTCTTACGATACATGCAGTGGGTAACAGCAGGTGTATTCTTTTCTCGATCCCCGACCTGCAGGGATTTCCTAACTAAATCAATGAAGCATAAAACAAAAATCAGCATCCCCAATATGCATTCTTTAGAGCAACCCTAGGTACACAATTGATGCAAGTATAATCAACATAGCACTTGTAGTAGGCAAGATATAGATGAGAGCAATTCTTCTTAACTTTACATGAAGATAAGAGCAATTTTTCTAAACGTAGTCAATGAAGCGTAAAAATAGGTCAAAAACAGCATCCGCAATATGTTTTCAGTAGAGAAATCCTAGATACACAATTGATGCAAGTATAATCAACATAACACTTGTATCAGGCAAGATATAGGTGAGAGCAATTCTTCTCAACCAGGTGCCTGCATGGACGTGCGAACGGACGCACGCATGGATGCACGAACGGACCCCGTCTGTATATCCTCGCCAACTCGTTGAGCGAGGGATAATTACCATAAATCTTAGAGTATCTGCCAATGCTCCAGTGCCATTGGCACTTTAACTCTGAATAACCAAAAGTCAAAGGTACATAAGTGAATTGGTATTTTGCTGGTACATACAGCATGCCGGAATGAGAGGATTCCTGCCTATTTATACCAATGTTTTATAAATGTGGTATACGTGCTCTGTATATATTTCAGAAGAGGGCGCCAAAAAGAAAAGAAAAAAAACGAAAAGACGAAATAACGGTATAACAAAGAAACTAAATAAAGAAAAAAAACCGTAATGACAATGATTTTGCGAAGTTAGGTTGGGTTGGGAGGGGAAGGGGGTGATCCAGGGGCGTCTTCACAAGCAAATGAAGATATAAAATCATGTACCCTTAGTGGGAATGTGCATGCAGTCCGATACGTTAAAAAATATATTGACATTTCTGCCGGTAAAATCAATTATAATTGTACTATTGTACTTAGAAATTAATTTAAATATACATCAATATTCATATATACTGTATATACGTCCTGTCGTACTTGCCAATTTATTTGAATCGAGTTATACTTATATTATAATTTTTATGTTCATATATATATATGTCCCGTTATACTTAGCAATTTATTTTATTTACATCAATGTTCATATTACATTCCTCCCGTTGTACCAGGGATGTGTAACATATCCCTGGTTGTACCACGGAATTAGATTAGATCTAAGTCCGTGGTTGTACTTAGCAATTTATTGAAATATTCATCAATGTTCATATTATATTCATCCCGTTGTACTTAGGCCCTAGCAATTTATTTTTTATGTAAATAATAACTACATGTACACGTACATTATCTTTAACTTTATCTGTTACAGTTTGCTAACTTCATATAAAATCCCATCAACTGCATTGTATAACATGATTTAATAAGTAGGGCCGTTTTTACCTTCGGGCCGTGATTCGATTCTGGTCGTTATCGTCTCCAGTCTGGTGTTTAGTAGGCCCCAAATTATGAAGCCAAGCGTCTGACAGACCCTAAAAAAACATGGAACTCGCCATTCGCGTTACCTCAGCTCCCAACTCCTAACACCAGATTTGACAAATTTTGGACTCACGCAAACCAGTAGAAACTTGCACTAGAAGGTACGATTTATTTTAGATCACACCACTCTATCAAATGGCGCTTATAATAGTTGAAATAGTAACTAGCAACTACCACCCCATCTCACTGACGTCAATTTGCATAAAACTACTGGAACACATTGTTCACACCAGCGTAATCAGCCGCGTACAGTGTCATGGTTTGTTGTCAGTCTTCCAACATGGATTGAGGAAGGATAGTTCATGTGAGAGCCAACTTCTCATCACCGTAGACGACATTGCCAGGAGCCTAAACAAAGGAGAACAGATCGACGCAGTGCTTTTCAATTTTTTGAAGGCGTTCGATGAAGTCTATACTGTACTGTATACAAATGTAGTTGATATAGTAGTCGACACCAATGGAAAGCTTCAGGTAGCTTCTTGCAGCAAATTTTAATGTTCCTATACTAATACGTGACAGTTTAAAGGTGAGTTAAAATACTAAATAATCTGACAGAGTACCCCACCAGAAGCTGCTCGGCAAGGCTAGCTCGAGCTCCACCACTACAGGATACGAGGGAACACCCTCTCATGGGTAGAGAGCTTCTTGACAGGCAGATCCCAGGAGCTTGTTCCTGAAGGTCAACAGTCAGACACTTCACCGATCACATCAGGCGTGCCCCAAAGAACAGTCATAGGACTCCTTCTTTTCCTGGTGTACATCAATGCCTTCCTGTGTAACTTCTACACTCAGACTGTTTGCCAACGACTGCCTCCTTTATAGGGTAATCACATCATCTAGCGATGCAGCTGAAATACAGAACAACCTCGACAGACTCAAGAAGTGGGAGGATGACTGGTTGATGAGTTTTAACCCCAACAAACTTAAGTGTGAGATCAACTCGATCACCAACAAGAGGAACCCATTGAAGTTGACCTACACCATCCACGGTAAGGCTCTCCAGAATGTTTCCTCAGCTAAATACCTTGGTGTCAACATCCAGCATAATATCTTGTGGAACAAGCATATTGACACCATATGCAAGAAGGCTAATTCCACCAACGCCTTCATCCAGCGCAACCTGAAGAAGTCTTCCACCGGAGTTAAGGAAACCTGTTTCACCGCACTGGTGCGACCCATTGTTGAATATGGATCAGATGCAGGGCTGCTCGTCATGCATTGGGTGTCTTTGACCGGTACAATAGAGTTACTGCCATGCTCCAGGTCTTCGAATGGTGCTCCCTCCGGGAGCGAAGGATTCAGGCCCAGCAAGTCCTGCTGTTTAAGATCATTCACGGCCTCATTGACATCAGCACAGAATCCTACCTCTGAGAGTCCACAACATCAAGGACCATAGGACACTAACAGCAATTCATCCAACCCCTTTCCATCACAGCATCTGCAATGCATGACTGGTCACAATCTAAGCAGGGGCGCGTCTAATTACCCAATACTACCCAATACCACCCAATACTACCCAATACCACCCAATACTACCCAACACTACCCCATACGATCCAGTTATGAACCAAATACTTATTTATTACTGTGAAATATCACCTTTGTAGACGTTATTTACTTCCATCTGCCATATTTTATCGGGAAATATGCGATTTGGTGCCGAAAACATCACCGAATTGCCGTGACTATGACCC